GCCCTGGTCATCTCCCTGTTCCACAGTTCGACCAAAGCCTCGACAGGAGCACCAGTCTTGTCAGCCGGAAACTCCCCCAGGGCCTTCAGGAATCCATCCGGATCCATCCGGCTCCGGGGGCGGACCCACACAATCGGATCCGCACCCTTACAGAGGGAGAGGTTGCTTTCGAGCACAAACCTCACCAGGAAGTGATCTGACCATGACAGGGGAGTCAAACATAAATTGCTCACCCTCAGATCACCCTCTTCTTGCCCCGTCGAGAAAACCAGGTCCAGAGTGTGTCCACGTTCATGGGTCGGGCCGGAGACATGTTGAGACAGCCCTATGGCCGTCATGGAGGCCATGAAGTCCTGAGCCGCCCCGGTTAGACCAGACTCAGCATGGAGATTGAAGTCCCCCAGGACCAACATCCTGGGGGTCCTCAACACCGGGTCTGAGACGGTCTCTGTCAGCTCAGATAGGGATACTGTTGGGCGGAAGGGTGCACGGTACACCAACAGAATCCCCAGTCTGTCTCGTTCGCCCAACACCAAGTAGAGGCACTCCAGCCCCGCCCTCGAAGGGACCGGAAGTCCCGTGAGAGAGATGGAGGCTCGGTAAACCAATGTGACCCCCCCTCCCCTCCCCTCTGGGTGTGAACAGTGCTGAACCAGATACCCGGGCGGGCACAGTTGAGAGAGGGCAACATCCCCCCCCCCACCCAGGTCTCCGTTATGCAAGCCAGGTCGGCCCCCTCATCCACAATCAAGTCATGGATGAGGGAAGATTTATTATTGACCGACCTGGCATTGAGCAGCAGCACCGTCAGGCCTGAGGGGCGGTTGACAAGGCTACCTGGCACCCTCTGGGTGGGGGAAGAACCAGAAAGAGGGACAGGTGTTAGCCATCTGTCCCTCCTTCTTCTACGCGGACACGTTAAGCCCCCACTGCTGTTACATCTATTGCCCATGACCACGCCAATGGCAGCGCCCGCGCGCTCCCCAGGAAACATAAACATGTTTGAATTTGTCATTTTCTTTAGTAAATTATACTATTCTGGTTTTTATTATATTCTGATGAGCTGCTGTCATCAACCTTAGTACTACAGTTTAGTATTAACTGTTTTTGTGTGAACTATGCTTTACATAAGACGTACAAAAGTCTTTGTGTAAGTTAGCCTGTCATGTTAACAGCTCGATCTTGTGACTGTTAGATAGTAGCTGTGCGTGAATCCCACTTACAACCAGTATAACAACAAACATGCCAGCTGCTTCTCTAAGGTAGTAAGAAAAGGATTTTGCGGGACTTCTTGAGGAAGGGGAAAGACCAGCATCACCAAGATATGCTATTCTGGTAGCAGCCCTG